GCACTCCCTTGCATCCGCAGCAGTTGGATGAACGGTTCTCGACATAAAAATGCAACAGACAGACACACACACACAGATTCCTGCCTTTATTAGAGATAAATGTGATGTTGATCACTACCGAATACTCGAAGCTCAAAAAATGGTATTCGGACCAGCCCTAGAAACTACTTGATAGTAGGGAAAACACAAGTATATACTTTGCACTTGGACAACCTCTTTTTTATTTTTTTTTTACATTAGCATTTCAGTTGTTCTTTTTTTCTCAATTAGATGCTGTGACAAAATGTAGCTGGGCCACAGCCTCAGAGGCGGATTCTTCAGTTAAAACATGGCTGCAGAATGCTAGAGACTGGGATGGGGGAAGGAGCCGAAGGACACTGAGGGGATTGATTTAATATTGATTATTTATGCATGTAATATTATGTGCTCATTGTTCTGTTTAATAAAAAAATATATTTAGTACTCAATCCACATACTGAGTTTTGTATTCAATTTTCAATATGTTTTCATTTTTTCTTCTAACCTGTCTGTGAACAGATGTTTGAAACATATTACAGTACTTGTAGTTTATTACTGCTACTTTCAATAAGTGCAAATATTCTGCATACGCATTAATAATAATGTTGTGGTATACTGGCAGTATAGGACCAAACTAATTTTGTTATTTGTTAAAGCCCCACAGAGCATGCCCACGGGGACATTGGAGCAATGTGGCTTCACAGCTTTCCTTCCTCCCAATGTCCCCCCAGTAGGCCCACAGTATGTCCACAGTATGCTCAATATACCCACAGTACACCCCATAGTGTGCCCAATGTGCCCGCAGTATACCCCACAGTGTGCCCAAGGTTTGCCCAAAGTATACCCCACAGTGTGCCCACAGTATGCCCACAGGGGAGCATCCAGCATGCCAAAAAATGCAGGGCACGTATGTAGTCCAGCCCAAAGTGTGGACAAACTGTGGGCCCATAATGGGGCTCACTCTGCCTAGTGTGGGCAGCCCACAATGGCCCCACACATGCCCCGGATTTCACGCTGGTAATGGGCCCCACACGGGCCCCAAAGGGGCATGTTTGCTGGGAATAGTACAGGTAGCCAGCATATGGGTTTTTTTTTTGCAGTTGCTGCAACTGGGTAAGGAATTGATGATAATAATAATCGATACTTTATCGATCCCTGTGGGGAAATTGTCTTTACCCCTTCCTTAACTTGCTCTGTTTTGCAGAGTAAGTTGTCCGCGAAGGGCAGCCACCTTTAGCGGTGCCCAGGGAGCTGGGGGTTAAGGGCCTTACTCAAGGACCCGCAGACATGCTGAGACCTTCTGATTACAGGCACACAGGCTTAGCCCACTGAGCTACATGCTGCCCCCTTAAGACCCCCAATCCAGTGGAAATGTTGTAAGGGTATGGGACGAAAGACATGGGAGCCCAAATCAGGGCAAGGCAAGATGGGTTTATTCCACTCAGGAATGGCAGGAAAACATTGCAGGGAAGCTCAGCACTGGGATCAACAACAAGTCTAGCAGGACTAATAACATCAATGTCAAGATTGTGGAACAGAGGACTGGAAGGCACCATTATACAAAAACTAGCAAGGGAGTAGAACGAGAGGTAAGACTGATGCTTAACAGATGTGGCTTCTTAAGGCGCTTTTCCACCGCACAAAGTACGGTACTTTCGGTACGGTACTTTCGCTTTTCCATTGACTTCCGGTCGAGTACCAGTACCGAAAGTGCCAAACCAGCTGCGGTACTTCTTTGGTACTTCGATACTTTGGGGTGGGCAGGGTTCCCCCTGGAGTTTGATTTCAATTCTTCACTTTTCTTTGTATTTTTGCTTCTACTAATCAAATTCTTCACTTTTTTTCAGCATCCGTTTTTTTTAGTCACTCTCTCACCGCTTCTTAATAAATTAATCATTAAACTCACTGAATATACATCTCTTCTGACAATCACACTGTGATTGGTCAACTAACGGCATGGGCGAGTCACGAGTCTACTTGATAAGGTTGGGAGAATCGTGAATACTGTGTAAAAATTTGCATCATTTGAAAATTGAATTCGCCAGAGTGACGATTTGATGCCGTTTTTCTTCGTCACCATGGGTTTCGTTTTCGTCAATGACGAGAGTGACGAGCGGCAGCGGGAACCCTGGGTGGGACTTGCAAAAATATTTGCTATCGATTGGTTATGCAAATAGCCTGCCGCTGAAACACAAAATACAACCGCCATCTTTTGAAACACACAGCAAACAGCGAAACAAAATAAAAAGCAGTAGAAAAAAAAATAAAAAAGTAAAATGGAAGGATGGACAAATGAGGAAACACAGGCTTTAATCGCCATATGGTCGGATGAACAAATCCAGCGGGATTTGGATGGCACGACTCGAAATAAAGTTTTTGCCGTTCTAGGCAATTCAGTTTCCCCTGTCGCGCGCTGATTTGTACATGGTTTCACTGTTTTCATGTCTTTTTACGAAGCTCTTGAGGTAAACAAGCCATATATTTTAAAACATCACATGCCTTTTCCATGTTTTTTGTTTTTACAGATAATAAATGACATTATTTAATTCGCTGGATAGTAGAGTTGTATGTCTCGAGACCGGTCTTGGTCTCGAGACCGGTCTCGAGACCACTTTTACGCTGTCTTGGTTTTGTCACAGTCTCGATGGTCTATTGTCTTGGTCTTGTCTTGGTCTCGCTGTCTTGTCTTGTCTCAGATCGACACGCAACGTAACAATCGATAGTGCAACATTATTATTATTTCGCCTTTAGCGCCCTTCAAATGCAACCAATCGATAACATACATGCATTTTGTTGTGATTCAGACATTGGCGCTCATCCAATCAAAATACGCGTTAAACACGCAAAATAATTGTAGCGATAGTTAAATGTTAGATGCAGCATCACAGTGAGTAGTAAACCTCGTCAGTTAAAGTACAGAAAAAAATGTCAGCGAATTCTTCTGTCATAAAGTTTGCGTTCATAGAACACAGAGAGTTTTTCTGCAGCACAGGTAAAAAAAAAAAAAAGCATTCGGCAAAATGCAGATTTTGCAGATCAATGATTAGTCTGGGGAAGACTGACTCAGACAAGGACTAAATACAAAAGACAAGCCAGACGTAATAGGACACAGGCGATCACAATCAGGGCTGAACACGAGGTAATGAGGGGGGCGTGGCACACATCGGGATCGTACGGAGCGGGACGTGACACTTTGAATAACAAAACGAATTTGATTACCTTTGCTTACTTTATAGGCTTTTATACTTTAATTTGCTTTATAGACTTGATATACTACAACTATATATAAAACTCGTTTTGCTCTGGCTTCCGCCTGTTCGCGTAGCACACTCATGTTTCCCATCCTTTAG